TTACTAAGTCGAGTAAAAGACAAAGAAGGGATACTCATTATATGATTCAGAAGGACACAAACTAGTTGCTGTTTACATTTGTGTTCAACTTCAACCATTACTTCGATCCCATCCTGGTACCAAACAATTTTCCTGCATCATTTACTTTTTGAATAAAACCACAACTTTCCAACACCAACTAGATAGATGCCCACATATCCACTACATCATTTGAGTGGTCACTAAAGCTAAAGCTAAAAATCTCTGAAGCATCATAGCATAAAACTACTCATAACACAATTTATAGCTTGAAAGAGCAATGCACTAGACCTCACACTATAGGTAAATGACATAGAAATGTGTAACACAAAAACTCATCTTCAACCCCAGAGTACAGGAAAATTTCAAAAATTGGCACCTGAGTGATTATGGCTTGGACATTTACACTCAAACTGTACCTCACCTCAGAGCAGAATGAACATCACTCTCTTTTCAAACTTATCCAAGAGCTAATGCCAAAACCTCTGCTACATACTTGGCACGTTTTAATAACCACTAAAACATCTATCTTTTGCACCAGACCATCCAGAAGCCCTCTATCCACAACGAAATTCTCACAAAGAGAATCTCAGGAAACCCCTAGATTACACTTCCCATCTCCAGCAGTTTCATAAATAATGCATGCAAAAGTTCCTAAAATGAAATTAATTAAGGATCCTAATTCGAATTTTTCAGCATTTCAAGCAAATCCAGCAAGCTTTCTTAGTAACTGTAACCTGAAAGTAGTAGTGGTAACTATTAACTAAAATAGAATGCAGGCAGCAAAGTAATAGCTAGCATCCAAAAAATGCCACGTAACAGGCATTAGAGGTCACTACTGGATAGATTCAGGAGCTATCAGATGGTGTGACTACAACCTCTAGCCGCCCGGCTAACAAAAGGTCTCAAGTTTTGTAACGCATGAGCCATCAAATCACATCGCAATCCCAGCATGGACAGCAGCAGTTACCCAAAATCTCTCACACCTATGCTTGCCCGCAGATTAACACGAAACGGCAAGGTAGCCGCTACCGAACCAATCTAATCCCTTGTCTGGGCCGCTGGGCGGATGCTGCGGAACATTTGTATTGCGTCGGAGGGAAACCAATTCGGTCGCAAATGAGATACGAAAGCAGAGAGAGAGTGGCCGTGCTCACGCGTGAGGACGTAGGAGATGGCGAAGATGCAGAGCGCCCACCAGACGGTGCGCAGCTTGGCCTCCTCGATCAGATCCTCGACGCTCTCCATCCTCTTCCGCATCTCGGCCTGCGCGCGCGCGCGCCCTGCGGCGCGGCCCGGCCCGTGGGAGGCGGCGGGGGGCTCCGGTGGGATCGATTCGGATGCGGAATCCCCCACCCCAAAGGGCTCCGCCGTCGCCGGAGAAGAAGGCCGGGCCGGGCGGTGCCGGCGGCGACTCGTCTCCACGGCGATTTTTATTTCTGGGATTATTCTGCCTTTTTTGTGATTTTCTTTGAAAATCCGTATAAAAACGTGCCCGGGTCGAACCCGCCTTTGTGTTCTGTTGTGGGGCCCACGCTAGTGGATGCGTGTAGGCGAATGCCATGTGGGTCCCAGGAGCCTGCTGGGATGCCCCTGCCACGTTGCACGCTGATGAGTGGATTGGAACGGCGTGTCAGTGGGTGGGATGCTGGAGTGGCTGGTTTAACGGTCAATAACGAAAATCATGCCTGCCGCGACATGTGGAGCCCGTAGTGGCGCATCAAAAGTCCTACTAGGTGTCTTGGGCCGATAATTCCGGACAGGCGAAGATACTAGAACTAGAACTAGAACGGAGGACAGGACAGATTGTGGCGTGGATTCACATGAATCCAGAGCAAAGAACAACTTTTTATATTTTCTTATACTACAATTCAAGGTTCGTAGTATATTTTCTTATACTACAAACAGTGGCGAATCTAGTAAAATGGGTCATCAGGGTCAGCATACAAAGAAGATTGAGTTACATTATGTGAAACTTACAATTCAGGGTTTGTAGCATGCATTGTTTAGGTTTCAACCGTTGGCTCCTCGCCGAAATCAACACGAATCAATTCATGAGTTTTAACGTCGCGAGATGAGTGGGGGAAAAACCTGTCGCTCCCTGTGATCTCCTCCTGATTCACCGCTCCACAATGCACTACACTCCAACCACTACACGTCCTTCATCGACCATATCGTCCCTCTGATGCCCCGGCCAGCCCTTCTAACACGCCTACTAGTCTAATTGATAGACTAATATATTGATTTGACTATCTCATTATCTCTATCTTTCACATGTCAATTCCTCCTCACTTCTCGTCTATATGATCCTCCCTCTCTCTATTTTGAATCAATCCATGGTTAATTTTGGAAAGGCCAAGGTATGCCAGCTTAGGCGATTTGGTCATTGATCCTCTTGTCATTTGGGAGCTATGGAAAGAGCGGAATGCAAGCATCTTTCAACGACGACATTTGAGTCCAGAGTCTCTAATTGCAAAAATCGAGGAAGAGGTGATAACATGGAGTTTAGCAGGAGCAAAAGCAACGGAGGCAAATCAGCAAATCATTCTTAACTATGGGGTAGCCTAGTGGTGGGATGTTTGGATCCCCACTTTTTAAGAATCTGACATCATTTATTGCTCATTAGGTCACAAAAAACTGGCAAAAGTTGGATATCAACAGCTTCAACTGGTCCGTTTGGATCCCACCCAGTTTCAAAAGCTATATATTCTTAGAAACTAGCATAAATTGGAGGGATCCAAATAGGACCGTAGTGCTTTGGCACCTTTTTTCTCTTGGTTTTGTAAATTTGTAAATACACTTCAGTGCTCTTCCTCTTCTGTATTAATATTAGTTTGTAGTCAACTGAGAGCGGTGCATTGAAAGGACACCTATTTCTCTAGTAGGGAATTGTATGAAAGAGAAAGATGACGCGATAGATGAGTGCCGAGGAGGAATTGTTGGTGCATAGTGATTGGTGCATGAAAATATCAAAGCATTAGGACAGTTTGACCCAAGCAAGTTCATTACCACTTTTGGTTAAACGCCGCAGATTCGATTTTACCAAAAGGGGTAATGAAGGAGGGTGCCGCGCCCACGTTCACGTGCTCCAAACTTCATGAGCACCCACGTTGTGCATTTTTGTTGGAATCTGCCGTTACCCTCCTTCATTACCAGTTGCAAAAAACCAGGTAGTCGATACCACACTCAGTTTCCCTTAAAACTGGCACTTGTAAGGACTTATCCTTATGATCGATTGTTTCTTAAATCCAGTGGTGGTACTATTTTTCTTTTGAACAAGCCATAACAATCCCTTTTTTTTCTTTTTTTTTAAACAGTAAACGATGGTCAGCAGTGGAACCTTGTTGTTTTTAAATAGTGTGCATAACAATGCAGTATTTTTGACTAATAAACATGTATAATATACGATAATGATACGATGAGGACGTCCGTCCCATGACTTCCGTCCGGACGCTCTCCCGCAAAGAAAAGATCCCCGTCCGCTCGTTGTACTCCCCGCGGTGCCTCCATCCTGCACATCCCCTACGGCGCCTCAGCCCGCCGCCGGCCCCCTTCTTCCCATCCCCCACCTGGCCAGAGCTCCCCGCCAGCCCCTTCTTCCCCCCACCTGGCCAGAGCTCATGGGCAGAGCCCGCCGGTGCCGGCGGCCTCCTCCATCGCTGGCCTATCTCCGCCTTCCCCTCCGCTTGCCTGCGACGGCGTAGCTCGCATGGCCAAAGCTCGCCAGCGGCCTATCCCCGCCGCCCCCTCCGCTCATCTCCAGAAAGGGTCGCGATGGTGCTGCCCTCTGCCTGTCCATCCCCCGCTTGCGCTGCGTCGTACGGAAGAAGAAGAAGGGTGAAAACGTATGCTGCAAGTCTATGTTTCAGATGTTTCATAGGCATGTTGCAGATGTTTCATAAGGATATTACAAAAGTAGATCGGAATGTTACATATATTATAATGGTTGTACATGTATGTTGCAAACTTCTGTTCCAATGTTTCATCTATTTTTTTAGACGTATGTTGCCAAAGTGTGTTTATTTAGATGTTGCATATGTTTCACACATATGTTGTAAGTGTTTTGTCTGGATGTTGCATATGTTTTACAATGGTTTTGAGATGTTTTTTGTAAGTGTTTTAGATGCATGTTTCATCTGTCTTGAGATGTATGTTGCAAGAGTTGCATCTAGATGTTTCAAAAGTAGATCAGGTATTGCATCTTACTCCCTCCTCGCCTCGGTGTCTCCACCTTCTCTCAGTGCTGGCTGGGCATCCGAGCCTGAGGCGCAGGCGGGCGTTGCCCGCTCCCCTTCTTCTCGATGCTGGCACCGCAGCGGGGGACGGACCGCCGCGAGTTCCCGCGGGCGCACGCTCCTTCTGTTCCGTTATGTGGGGGAGGGATAGGTGCGCTCGTTTCTTCTGTTATGTGCTGAGATCGGACGACTCCTGTTCCTCAAACCGGATGGCCCCGAGCTGTGTCCGACGCGTCCTCGGGCCGGACGTCCGGGCGCTAGTTGTACGGATATATACACGATAATATGCATCATATGGTCTCAATGTTGAGTGATTGCATGCCATATATGTGTATCATTTTGAACAAAGCATATATTTTATACTAAATACTATACATGTGGTTGTCTAACCAAAAAACCGACAAGGACTAAGAAAACAGAGTACACCATATATCCTCGTCGTCCCATCTCTTGAACATGCTACCATTTTCAACAAAGCAGTGAAATTATTAAGTTTAGTTTATTCACCTTGGATTTCAGCCAGTCATCCCGGACGAAGCTGCAGCACCCGCGAGGTGACGGCAGAGCGCCACATCGCCGCCGGGCAAGGCCGCTGCGGCCTGATCACCGAACTCGCCCGTCGTGACCGGGACCTCCTCTCCTCGCTGACCTCCTCTCAGGACACGCCGCTCCACTTCGCGGCGAGGGCGGGGCACGCGGACGCCGTCGCCGTCATCGTCCGGCTCATCGCCAGCAGGAAGGACGACGATGACAGCGACGACGACGTCAAGGAGGCCTGGCGGCGGCTGCGGCTGCGGGGCGTGCACGACGTGCTCGGGGCGAAGAACCGGGCCGGAGACACGGCGCTGCACGTGGCCGCGAGGCACGGCGGCCGCGGCGGTGGAGGCGTTCATGGGCCTCCGCTTCATCAGCGGCGGCAACAAGGCCACCAGCGCCTGGATCGAGGTCCAGGCCAACTTCGACCGCCTCGCGCGCGACGGCTACCTCTCCCGCGCCGACTTCCCCAAATGCATAGGTTCGCTTCAGTCCCCTCCCCCTTTCCCTTCCAGAAACCCCAGGCTTCTTCGAATGATTAGTTCCTAACCGCATTGGAGTTTTTGGATGCAGGGATGACGGAGTCGCAGGAGTTCGCGATGGAACTTTTCGACACGCTGAGCCGCCGCCGGCAGATGCAGGTGGATAAGATCAACAAAGACGAGCTGCGCGAGATCTGGCAGCAGATCACCGACAACAGCTTCGACTCGCGCCTCCAGATTTTCTTCGACATGTAACCTCTGCAATCTGAGAACTGCTATCAAATTAGCGCTATATGAACACATCAGTTGTTCAGTTTTATTAATGTGTCTTCGTTTTTTTTCTATATGTATATATTATCATTTTAATCAGGGTGGATAAGAACGCAGATGGCCATATCACGGAGGCCGAGGTGAAAGAGGTAAACAATTCCTCGTAGCTGTGCTTGGTGTTTCACTTGCGATTTATCGTATTTGCATTCAGTATGTAAATTTGAGCAAATTTCTAAAAATGAATATCTCGAAGCTAATCTAAGTGGTCAGTAAAATCAACTGATACTTTAATAAAAGATCAGGCAACTTGCGATCGTGACGGCGTCCTTGTCCAGCGCGCCCTGCGGGTCCGTCATCGCCACCGGCGCCGGGGTCACCATCTTCGCCAGGGTTGCGGCTGCTTGGCCCTCCATGGCGATCGGGCAGCCATCATCATCTTTGGGCAGCGATCCATCCATGGGAGTCGAGGAAGGGAAGGGTACGGCGGCGGCGGGAGGAGGGGAAGGAGGAACGGCGGCGTCGGTGCTTAGGGCGGCGGCGGTCTCGGAGGGGAGGAGGAATGTCGGATAGATGAATTGGTACGATCGATCAACGATACAAAAGCAGAAGGGCAGAAGGGTCACAAGAGGGCCAAAATACATGTATTTTGATTAACAAAATGAAGAAATACGCCAAATGTCATCTAAAATAAGAAGCCAACGTTTCAAGGGTCATTTTAACGAAGTCGACGATTGGAGTCATATAATTGCGAAGCGTATTGTTTGGTGTCCTATAATTACAATTTTCTCAAAAAAGAAAAGGAGAAAAAGAAAAGAAAAAACAAAAGTGTATTATATTCCATCGCAATAAGCAAATTGGAATGATCTCCGAAATATCGACAAGTTTAGATGAAACCTTACTAAACCGACGTAATTCCATATACCATCACGAACATGTCAACATAAGAGGTAGATTTATTTCACCCGTTGCAACGCACGGGCACATTTGCTAGCATAACTTAAAAATAATGAAAGATAAGTAAGCCGGAACACGCAATTCAACTTGGACTGTTTTTTTTGTTAATGTGAAGAGTAGGTGTGGCTCTCCAGCTTTGTTTGAAACAACGCGGTCTTTGTGACATGATAAATAATCAACAGTATGTATTTCATATTTTCAACTATTGTAATGATAGTCGACCCAACCAGTATGGGAGTAGTTGATTACATTAAGATAAAGGGAGGGTCTAGCACCAGGACGTTCGGACAAAAACGCTCGTTCGTACGCCCGCGCCACTCCCGCCGCTCACGAGAATATTATCGTTGCCCAACGCGTGCTTAGCGTAAAACGCGTGCGCCCGTGCCTGCCGTGCCCGCGTAACAGGAGGACCATTACCCCGATAGATCGTAATAGACAGCCACGCCCGCCTCACCCCGCCTGCATATGCACGCCGGGAGGTGTCTGTCGGCCTCAGGCGCCCGCACGGTGACCCACGGCGCGGCGCCCCAACAATAGTAGCATGCGGCTATGGCAGGCCGCTGTCCGCAAGCCACCGGGGCCATTGCTACATGTTCTCCCCTAGATCTACTTTTGAAACATCCAGTAGAGAAACACTTACAATATGCGACTAAAAACAGATGAAACACTGAAAACATACGCTTGAAACATGATGCGTGTATAGCCATAGCAATGCAACATCCAGATCTAGTTTTGCAACATTAAGATAAAACGCTTGCAACATACGTATGAAACATCTGAAACACTTGGTACATGCGTTTAAAACATGCATGTTATGCAACATCCAGATATACTTCCGCAACATCATGATGAAACACTTGAAACATACTTTTGACACAATTGAAACACTCGAAAACATATGCTTGCAACATGCGTATATTGTCATTGCAACATATGCAACATTCCATATCTGACTTTTGCAACATTCAGATGAAACGCTTGAAACATAAGTCTGAAACTACTGAAACACTTAAAACATGACGTCGCTTGCGGCCATGGCCTACGTGGTGGGGGACTGTGGTGGGGGATGGGGCGGGGCTTAGGCGGCCGATGCACGGCGCGACGCACGGCTACGAGCTGATTTTGTCGAGCTCCACCTGCTCCCACACCGTTGCATGGCTGTCCGCCCGCTGCGCCGACATGTTGCTCCGCCGCTTCGACACCCTCTTCGCCGTGCTCATCAAGCAAGGCTCCTCCTTCGGCGCCGGCAACCTGCACGGGCTACGCTACGCCGCCCAAGATGGACTGGAAGGCGTGCAAGATGCAGCGCCTGGTGGCTGCCACAGCACACGTGCCACGAGCTCGACGCACTTGCCGAGCTGGAGCAGCCCGCACCGACCGAGGCCGGCGCCAGCGCTGCTGCGTCAGGGAGCAGCTGGGCCGGGTGCGTGTGTTGCGTGGCTAGGCAGAAAGTGTTGTGCCTCCGCGTGTGCGTCATGTGGATGAGAAGGAGCCACGTCGCTAATTAAATATTGGTGTGGATGAACTGAAGGTGGGAGCAGGCCAGTGGCCCGGTCAACAGGCCCAGCTAGGAGTGTCCGGGGGCACGGACGCGGGACGGATGCCCGCGAAGGAGTATTAGCGTTAAGATAAAACATACATCCGCCGTATCAAGTTATAACTTGCTTTGGCTTTATCCTAAGTCAATTTTCTCGAAATTTTTACCAAGTTTTTAGAAACATAAATTGACATGGAGAATTTAGTGAAAAGTAGTTAATTAATGTTATAGATGTTAGTGTATTTTAATAGAAACTTGATCAAATTTTAAAAAGATTGATTTAAAACAGAGTTAAAATGAACTGTAACTATTGACATCTTCAATCGGCAATTATTCACTTACAGCCCTCTTCTCTGTTGCTTCACGAGGTTCCATGAGGCCAACATGGAAACATTGGATGGCTCCACATTTTAAAGTTGTTTTCCTCCAAATAAAGCTGAAGTCATATATGCTAGTTGAGAATAGAGCTGAATGTGTTTGTAATGTGTAACATTACAATTATGGCAACATGGCTAACAGTAGTAACATGGTTGTAACTAGAGACATAGATGGACTTTTTTTTCAAAACAAAATCAATAATATATATGTTTCATCCTTTTCTAACTCATCATCTGATACATTGAACTATGTGCTGAGGCCTACTAACATTAATATGAAAATTTTCATTTCTTGTAGAAATGGTTTCTTTGCTACTGCAATGGCGACCAACACTTGCAAGCGACCTTGATAGCAACAAGAGCAGCCCATTACATTTTGCTGCATCCAGTGGTGACTGTTCTATAATCGAAGACATCTTAAAACATGCACCACCCAGCACCGCATACATGCAGGACAGCCAAGGCCTCTCGGCTCTTCATGCTGCTGCTTTGATGGGCCATTTACCTGCAAGTCCGTTTGTTATTACAATACCACCCTGCGTCTTCAGACATTCGTGACAACCATGGCCGAAATTTTCTACACGCTGCAGCCATGAGAGGCCACCACTCCATTATATCTTATGTCATAAAAAACCAAATGCTGGAATATCTTTTGAATGAGCAAGACCAGGAAGGGAATACAACATTACATTTAGCTTTGCAGGCAGGGGAATACAGAGTGGTTTCTAAGCTTTTATCCAGTGGAAAAATGCAGGTTCACATCATGAACAATGACGGCCACACCCCATCTGATCTGATAGAAAACTCAAGGGGTTTCTACTTAATGGTAAGTAATACTTCCATCCTTCTATTTTTAGGGAATGTTACAAAATTCTAGATTGTGTTTTATATAAAAAAGTACATATTGTATTCATTTGAACTAACCTGTCCTCATGTCCATGACACATTTGTGAACTAGCAGGCAAGGCTAGTGGTAACGCTGTTTGTCTATGGAGCACAGTTCAAGCCACAAAGGCAAGACCATGTAAACAAATGGAACGGACAGGACATCATGAAATGGCGAGAAGCTACATCGAAAAACCTCGCAATTGTTTCCACCCTTGTGGCGACAGTCGCCTTCTCAGCAGCATTCAACGTGCCTGGTTCATATGGATCAGACGGAAAGGCAAATCTGAACGGGAATCACACTTACAGTGCGTTCCTAGTGCTGGACACCATTGCCATGACCACATCTGTAATGGCGACGATATTACTTGTTTATGGGGGTGCTTCACGGTCTCATCGTTCTTGGCAGGGCTTCATTATGTCCATGCACTTCCTTTGGCTGTCACTCATCTGCATGATGCTAGCCTTTTTTGAGGCCATATCAGCTGTGACAAGCAGTGATAGGAAAGCTATGAAGTCTCTTCTATATCAGCTGATCTACGCTGGGGTGTATGTTCTGATAAGTCTTCTTACAAAACTTGCAATGCCTGGATCGTTTGTAGGAGTTTTGCAGTTTGTGGTAGGTGGTTTCTCGAAACAACAAAGGTGTCTCAAGAAGCGCATCAGTCAGCAGTATCCCTTTGGCGTTATCTATGCCTTCAACATGTTTATGTTCATATTTGTAAATACTGTAGCAATTGCTGCAAAGGTCGTCTCAAGTATTTTTCTTTGACGTGAGAGGTATCTTGTTCATAACATTCTGTATTAGCGCAGACATATGCTAAGATGCTATCATGTCGTCATGCATGTGTATGCAGACATATGTATCTCTACGTATACTCATGATAGACACCGCACATCACTGCCTATCTCTACGTATACTCATGATAGACACCGCACATCACTGCCTATATATCTCTATGTATACTCATGATAGACGCTGCACAACCGTACTACACACGAAACACACATACATGTGCATCTGAACATTCCAGGCATTATTATTTAAGGAAAAAATATATACAATAAAGCATTGCTTATCAAGATAATCATATCGTGCATGAATGCGAGAACTGTCATTATATCTTCATCACCTATGTATAAAGAGAGATCCTACCAATCCCATTCAGGGTTGGATGATGGAGAATAATGTTATGCTTGCCCAAGTTCTTGTTAAGTAATTGTTACAAGGTGCACACGATGCCATTCTCTTCCTGCACCACCCTTTCGACACACACTATGTCAGAAAACCAAATCACTGACGTGGGTTTGGCGCATTTCCCATAGCACATCTGTGATGACCCCTCATCATAGACGCGTGGAGACGCATCTGTAATAACCCCACATCACAGACGTCTGCGTATAGACAAAACGTGTCTGTGATAAGGAGTCATCATAGACGCATGTTGTTCAGATGCGTCTGTGATGAGGGTTATCACAGTCGTGTTTTTACTATACTCGTCTGTGATGAGGGGTTATCACATACGCAGATTGTGTAGACCCCGTGGTGCGACGCCCTCCTTGGGTACGACTCCTCTTCGAATGCGGGGGCTTGAACAACCGCACGCTCAGCTTCATGCCGCCTCCCCAGTGCCAAGACGAGCCCACCATGGCCACCATCGACCATATCTCCGAAGCACAAGCAACCCTGGATCTATCCTCCTTCGTTCGAGAGGCTGTCGTCCCTCACATGAGCTACTACAGATCTAGCCTCCCTCACACGGCCCGAGCAGCTCGCTCCGCCACCGTGGGCAGTGCCCCAGTGCGTCCCTCACCAT